GTAACAAATTAAATGCTAAGTATTCTGCCCAACAGTGTGCACAGGGGCAGCGTGGAGTAAATGTAAACCCACATTCATTTATCCTGAATTTAACTGAAAAAGGCGCACACATTTTTAGTTAAAAATAATCTTTTCTGAACACATAGAATATCATCATACACATAAACCTTGCCTGTGAGTTTATATTATTTATGTATAATTTGTCATGCTCATTCAGCTTCATTTTGCAGCATCCATCAACTATGGATCAATGAGAGGAATTCCAATCTCAAGACAAACGCATGGGTATTAAAACCTAGTTTGTGCAAATGCATAAATCAGACGTAAAATATGCTAATTTTCAAAATGTACTTTCAAGAGCTTGCTCGACCCCAGGGACTGACCGACCGAGTGCGACCTCAGGGTGACAGCTCGACTAGTGTGTTGTCGCTTACTCTCTCTGTACCTTGTTATCTTATTATTGATATTTTGTAAATACAGTAACATTTTGGATATTTGGTGCTTTTAGGTTGACATTTTAAAGTGTCAACCTAATCATAATCATGATGATTCTTTAAGATGTTCATGTAAATTCATTACAGTAGTTCAACTATTAATTCATGGATGAAGTCATCCATGAACCAACATGTAATCATTTTAGTTCATGAGAATTCATGATCTAGAAATGCATGAATGTATCATGAACTAATGCATTAATTCAGGCATTAGTTCATGTGAATCAGGCATGAACTCATATACCATTAATATAAAGTGTTACCGGTATATCTTTCTATACAAGAATTAATTGAATTGAATTGAATAACACAATGGGGCGACAGTGGCTCAGTTGGTAGAGCATTGGTCTTTGAGCCTGAAGGTCGTGGGTTTGATCCCACCGCCAGGCCTTCTCCACCACACAGGCAAAGTGGGGTCAAGTGTCTTGCCCAAGGACACAACGACAGAAGACATGAGTCTTTGCGTAACCTGTGTGTAACCTGTGCACGCAAATACACCGCTTAAGCGGAACTATGGAGCCTTAGGAAGTGTCCGTGTCTCCTCCTGAAACGCAACTAAACTCGCTAAATTAAAGCCTGGGTACGTAAATGTTCCCTTTCATTAACAGCTCATGTTGGCTGTGCCCAAAAGTAAAAGGTTGTGAGCAAATCAAACAGACTTAAGTACATTTGGTATGAATAACAATGTGTCATTACATTTGATAATTTAATTTAAATTCAATTGGAATGGATTTTAAATAGAATGTAAAAATGTGATTAATCGTGAGTTAACTCACCATTACGATGCGATTAATCAACTAAAACATTTTGATCGTTTGACAGCCCTAATCATAACACAACACTATAATTGTTGATGAACTTCCCAATATTATTACATGTCCACTGCAGATTCCGACTTGAGGAAGAGACTTGAGGATGTGCTAAAGCAATCCTGGAGAGAGCAATCCTGAATGGAGTTGAACTGAAGCCCACTCTATTCAAATATGGAGCATTACCACCACGGCATATGCCATTGAACACCTTGATGATACATTTTTCAAGCAAACATTGCTGCTAATTATAGTGACCTGAACACACCCTCTAGTTGTTATTGTTCTAAGCCTTTTTACTTGTTGCATCTTTGAATTTAACTTGATTTGGATCAATATGGCAATTAAAAAAACAAAACCACGAAGGCATTATATACTTCTTTCACTAAAACATGTCAATACCGCTAGTTTGGTTTGGTAAATACATTGCAGATTGTTTGCCGCTTTTTCCATTAATCTTCCACCAACTGAGGAGTCATTAGAAGTCTTGTTTTTTAGTATCACTGGTTTATGCTTACATCTGAAAAAAGCTCTAATCAAATTCCTTTTATCTTGCTTGGGGCCAGAAAAGAGAAAACAATTACTAGACAGAAATATAATGAAATTGCAACGATATCTTCTGACATACAGGTAGGTACCCTCTTCAAAAAATGTACTAAGGATATGGGAAATCAAATGTGACTAATGTGCTTGAAAACAGGGAAAATCAATTGCCTCCGAACAAATGGGAGAGCTATTAAAACAATCTCTGCCGCAGGAACAGACTGTGTGGAATCGGCTGCTATAGGAGCTATCACTGTATACACCATTTACCTTGTTGAAACTCATTATGAAGGCCTGCAGGATTTCACACCGTTCAATGCCAGGGATGAGTCAAAATAGCTCAGGCTTATTTCAAATGGATATGACATATGAATTCTACATGTATGAAAGCCAACGGTTGTACAGTTATATACTCCCTGTATGAATGCTGAAGGCTCAAATAAACAACAATTTTATCACATTCTTTTGGAGTTTATTGAAAGATTATTTTAGGTCTGTCATTGAAAGGAAATTCCTTTTGACTTGAATTGTTTTTGAAGTAACTATAAAAGCATGCATTCTTGAACACACACCCCCTCCATCAACCACATCACTCCTGTCCTCCAACAGCTCCACTGGCTCCCCATCACTCACCGTATCCAACACAAAATCCTGCTCCTCACATTCAAAGTCATCCACAACCTTGCTCCTCCATACCTGATTGACCTCCTCCAGATCTCCACACTTGCCCGCTCCCTCCGCTCCTCCTACTCTCTCCAGCTCCTGGTTCCTCCTGCCCGCCTCGTCACCATGGGGAGTAGAGCCTTCAGCCGCTCTGCTCCCCAGCTCTGGAACACTCCCCCCTGACCTCCGTAACACCGACTCACTAACATTCTTCAAATCCAACCTCAAAAATAAAGATGGCGCCTCGTACTGTTGACATGGCTCTTTGCTGCTCTCTTTTTCTTTTGTTTTTACTTTTTAACTGCGCATCTCGCTGTTCCTACACCCGTGAGGAACCCACCGTTCCCATGGACCTATTGCCGGTTTTCTTGGCATCGGCGGCTGAATTAGTCCATGTTCTAGCCAAAAAAGTGTGGGCCCGTAAAAGGGGAAAGCACGGAGGCCTGCTCGTGCGTCTTAGGAGGAGAGGAGCGCGCACGGCTCTCCCCGGCATTTTTCTCTCCAACGTACGCTCACTGGGCAATAAGATGGACGAACTCAGCCTGCTCATGAGAAGAAACAAGGACTTCGCCACATCCTGTGTCCTCTGCTTCACTGAGACCTGGCTAAATGAGCGGATCCCGGACTGCGCTCTGGAGCTGCAGGGCTTTGGGCTGTTCCGCGCGGATCGCCATTGTGCGCTCTCAGGGAAGAGCAGAGGCGGTAGACTGTGTTTCTACGTCAATACAAACTGGTTCTCCTGTTCTGGAATATCTTTTCATTCATTGTAAACCATTTTACTCCCCTCGTGAAATTGTTCATTCATTCTTGCCTCTGTTACCGCCATGCGCGCACGAGGCTCAGCGCGCACTCGCAGAGCAAATACTGTGTATGGAACGTTTATACCCGGACTCTCTGATTATTATCCTGGGGGATTTTAATAAGGGAAACTTGAGCCAGGAATTACCCAAATACAGACAGTTTATCAAATGCCCGACCAGAGAGGAGAACACTCTGGATCACTGTTACACCACCGTGCGCGGAGCTTTTCGCGCTGTTCCCAAGCCAGCCCTCGGCTTCTCAGATCACTCCATGATACATCTGGTTCCTGCTTACAGACAGAGACTAAAGCTCTCGAAACCTGCAGTGAGGAGCTCCAAAGTGTGGTCTGATGAAGCTGTGGAAGAGTAAGTAAGTAATCTTTATTTATACCGCCTTTTCACTGCACATCGGAGTCTCAAAGCGGTTTACAATTGTGATTTTGTAAACAGAAGAGCTGCGCGCATGCATGGAATCTACAGACTGGGACCTTTTCAGAGCTGCCACAGATAGTTTGGATGAATACACGGACACTGTGATGTCATACATTCACTTCTGTGAGGATAGCATCATTCCAACAAGGACCAGGGTCATCTATAACAACGACAAACCCTGGTTCACTGCTAAACTCCGGCAGCTCAGGAAAGCAAAGGAGTCTGCTTTCAAAGAGGGGGACCGCAGCGGCTACAAAGCAGCTAAATATCAGTTCAGGAAAGAACTGAAAGCAGCCAAGTCCCGGCACAAGCTAGCTGACGAACTGAACTTATTTTTCAGTCGCTTTGATGCTGCCCCTGACACCTCTCCCTTCCCCACCCCCCACTACTCTAACGACCCACCCATCAGCCCTGCCCCCAGCCTAACAATAGCCTCTAAAAAGATTAAACAACTCTTCTTGAGGCTGCACCCCCGCAAAGCTCCTGGCCCGGACCACGTGTCTCCGGCCACTCTGAGATACTGCGCCAGTGAGCTTACTCCTGTGTTCACTGACATTTTCAACACCTCTCTGCAGTCCTGCCATGTCCCGGCCTGCTTCAAATCCTCCATCATTGTCCCCTTCCCGAAGAAGCCCAGGATCACAGAACTCAACGGCTACAGACCTGTAGCACTTACGTCTGTCGTCATGAAGTCATTTGAACGCCTGGTTCTCTCCCATCTCAAGTCCCTCACCTCCCCCCTCCTGGACCCCCTGCAGTTCGCCTACAGAGCCAACAGATCTGTAGACGACGCCATTAACCTGGTCCTCCACCACATCCTACAGCACCTGGACTCCCCGGGGACCTACGCCAGGGTCCTGTTCGTGGACTTCAGCTCTGCCTTCAACACAATCCTGCCATCCCTGCTCCAGGACAAGCTCTCCCATCTCAACGTGCCCGATTCCACCTGCAGGTGGATCACTGACTTCCTGACGGACTGGAAGCAGCGAGTGCGTCTGGGGAAGAATGTCTCGGACTCTCGGATTATAAATACAGGAGCCCCATAGGGCTGTGTTCTTTCTCCCCTGCTCTTCTCCCTGTACACCAACCACTGCACCTCCAGCCACGACTCCGTGAAGCTGATCAAGTTCGCGGACAACACCACCCTCATTGGACTCATCTCCAACAACGATGAGTCCGCCTACAGGAGGGAGGTGGACCGGCTGGTGTCCTGGTGCAGTGGTAACAACCTGGAGCTGAACGCCCAGAAGACAGTGGAGATGATTGTGGACTTCAGGAAGAGCACTGTCCCCCCGCCCCCACCCTCCGTGATGGACTCCCCCATCACCTCTGTGGAGTCCTTCCGTTTCCTGGGCACCACCATCACCCAGGACCTCAAGTGGGAGCCGACCATCATCTCCCTCATCAAGAAGGCCCAGCAGAGGATGTACTTCCTGCGGCAGCTCAGGAAAGCCAAGCTGCCTGCACAGATGTTGGTGCAGTTCTACACAGCCATCATCGAGTCCATCCTCACCTCCTCCATCACCGTGTGGTTCGCTGGAGCCACAGTCAGGGACAAACAGAGACTACAGCGCATTGTGCGCTCTGCAGAGGAAGTGATCGGCCGCAGCCTTCCATCGCTGCAGGACCTGTACGTCGCCCGAGCTCGAGGCCGGGCTGGTCGTATTACAGCCGACCCCTCTCACCCTGCACATGGACTATTCCAACCACTCCCCTCAGGCAGGAGGCTGCGGTCCATCAGGACTAGAACCTGAACAGTTTCTTCCCCTCTGCTGTTGGACTCTTGAACACTTCTTAACCTGTCCCCCCGCCCTTTATAAAGTCACTTTACTGCCCATCATACGTCACTTTACTTCACTGTACTGCTGTCACCTTACATTGTGTGCACCATGTGCACTTGTATATTGTAAATAGTAACTGTAACTCTATTTTAAATTTAAATTTATTCTTTAGAAGTGTTTTTTATTCTTATTTTTATTATCCCTTTCTGACTGTTGCACTGAGCCAAAGCAATTTCCAAGTCTGTGACCTCCTGTTACTTACGTGGCAATAAAAATGATTCTGATTCTGAAAACTCATCTGTTTAGACAAGCCTACTCACTAACATATCCACACTCTCCTCTGTCCATGATGCTTTTAACTTTGTATTTTAACTTTTTTTTTTTTTAATGCACTTTTTGCTTGTATGTAAGGCGACCTTGAGTGCCAAGAAAGGCGCCTAAGAAATAAAATAATAATAATATTATTATTATTATTACAATACTTCAAAGTAGCGAAAGCCAGATCCTGCCAGACATCTGAAGCTAAGCAGGACAGTGCCTGGCCAGTGCTGTGATGGAAGACCTCTGGGAACACCCTGTGCCATAGTGGAGCGGTTGTGAAGTGCCAAACTTTTACTATGTCCTTAGGCAAGACACTTCACCCAGATTGCCTGGAATGACTCTGGTGGGTGTGTGAATGGTTGGTGGTGGTCAGAGGGGCCGTTGGCACATACTGGTTGCCTCGCTTCTATCTGTGTGCCCCAGGGCAGCTGTGGCAACAACAGCAGTTTATCACCACCTTGTATGGAGTGAATTAATAATGCCATGTGAAGTGTCTTTGAGTGTCCAAAAAAGCGCTTTATAAAGGAAACAATTAATTATTCAAAAAGTGGTGAATTTATAATACCACAGTTCTCATCATTATACCCATGAATACACAGTTTCAATGTCATCCTTTATAATCGAAACAGTTTAACAAATCTGTGTTACATTATTATAATAATACCTGTGCAAAACCTATGACCTTGATGGTAACCGCAGACATACAGTAAATTGATGTTCGGGGTCGAAATGTTCTTGAAGCGTGCAAAAGAAAAGCTACAGAAAACGTGAAACAAATAGTTCCCTTACTCTGCGTTGGCTTGTTGGAGTTGAAATGAAAACTTCAATTGTTCTCAGCGGGCAGCGGGCTTCACAGGCTCCACTGTGTTAAAGGCAGCCAAACGCCTCAAATGAAGAATTATCACTTCAAAACAATCTGTGCTCATCCTCCGGCCGGGGAAAGGTCACTCAGCACGACCACCGACGCAGCCAACAGCTCTGCCTGTTTTTTGTTTTTTTCGGACAGGCGTTCCCCTCCTATAAATGGATCTAAATGAGATTGGTGCGAAGACGTTGGAAATGTCAAAAGGACATCCATGTGTCCTAAATCAGGCTGCGGCTCAGAGTGACGCGCTGCAGAGTAACCTTCTGCAGTGACAGGTTTACGGCAAACTGAAGAGAGAAGCCATTAAAGTTTTAATAAACGGTCACAGAAAAAGTCACTGACACTGTCCTTCACAGAGACGCATGTTCCACTCTGGTCCAGTCAGTGATGTGGCTTGTGGATGGGTGGTAGGTTATAGACATATTCTTTGTTTGTTTTACCAGGGATCTACTTTAGGCACTTTTTTTGACTGCACCGATGATCACGGACACTGTTGATGCCCTCACGTTCCAGGCCCAGACCAACCCTAAACAAAATTTTGTGTGAAGTTATACTGATATAGTAGTTGTGTGTCATGAATCACATTTCCGATTTTGGAGAAACAGCTCCACAACTTTAGGTGCATCAACAGAAGAAGTCCTTTTTTTCTTTTTGGTTTGGAAAGTGGATTTGTAGTCTTATAGTCTTTGCATCTGTCGTCCCACATTCACAGTCACAAACACACACACACTGTCTTTTTTTGGGGTAGGGGAAACCGGAGCACCCGGAGGAAACCTGAGCAGACACAGGGAGAACATGCAAACTCCACTCAGAAACGACCCTGTTCCTGACCGAGATTCGAACCTAGAACCTTCCTGCTGAGAAGCGAGAGTGCTATTATCCTCTCAGCCTTGCCGTCTTTATACATGGCTGTTCAAAGACTTACATTTGTGTTTTTAACCTTATTCGCATCTCACTCACACCAACAAAAAACAAAATCATCTGGCATTGGTTCCAGAGGCTGCTCTATTTAAGTATTGGAACCTTGCCTCTTGGCGAAGGTCTGCACTCTGCATGTGCTGTAATCAATTTCAGGGCAACAGTTGAACCAAAAAGTGGATTCTTTCAATTTGGACGTTTCAGTAGCTTTTTGTGCCGAGCGCTTAGATTAATGTTGCCATATGACAGAAGCAACATTTATTGACATCATAATAACTATAAAAGCACTTAGACTTATGGTTTTCACTTTGAAGCGAGACCTCTGAGAATCTGCCAAACTGCTTTTGTGTCCTTAGGCAAGTCACATTGCATAGAATGAGTATCAGGTGGTGTCAGTATGAGTGTGTGTGAATGATTCCGTCAGTTTGGGTAGAAAATCGCTGTAAAAGTGGTATGTATTATGAAATAATAATAATAATAATAATACATTTTATTTAAAAGCGCCTTTCAAAACACCCAAGGACACTGTACAGGCATAATAAAAACATTTAAAAACAGGATAAACAGAATAAAACAGTAGTCAGGTGCAATATGGGATGGTGTGTGTGTGTGTGTGAGTTTAGGAGGGTGTGTGTGTGCGTATGTGTTAGGTGTGTGTGTGTGTGTGTGTGTGTGTGTGCGCGCGTGTGTGTTAGGTGGGGTAGGACAGTCTGAACAGATGGGTTTTGAGTCGGGATTTGAAGAGTGGAAGAGAGTCAATGGTACGGAGGTCAGGGGGGAGAGAGTTCCAGAGCTGGGGGGCAGAGTGGCTGAAGGCTCTGTGTCCCACAGTGATGAGTCTGGCTGGGGGGACGGAGAGTGTGAGGGTGGAGGAGGGAGCGGAGTGTGCGGGCAGGAATGTGAGGGTGGAGGAGGTCAGATAAGTACGGAGGGGCCAGGTTGTGAAGTGCTTTGAAGGTGGTGAGGAGTATTTTGAAATTGATGCGCTGTTTGACAGGAAGCCAGTGGAGTTGTTGTAGTACGGGGGTGATGTGGTGAGCTGTGGGGGTCCGGGTGATGATACGAGCTGCAGAGTTTTGGAGGAGCTGCAGTTTCTGGAGGGATTTGTTGGGGAGGCCGAAGAGAAGTGAGTTGCAGTAGTCAATCCTTGAGGTGACGAGGCTGTGGACGAGGATGGCGGTGGTGTGGGGGGTGAGAGAGGGGCGGAGACGAGAGATATTGCGCAGGTGGAAGTAGGCAGACCGAGTGATGTTATTGATGTGGGACTTAAACTTGACAGACAGCAGTTTAAGTAGAATCCCTGAGACTGTTAATTGTCTTTGTGTGTCCATCATACAGACAAGAGTTACAGTATAATTTAATAATACATTTAATTCAAATAAGCAAAAATGATTTGTTTCACTCCTTCATATCTAAACACTTGTCAAGAAAAGTTTAAGTTGTTTTTTTCATAATTTGTGTCTAGTTAATTAAAATTTTCAACTACAGGTTTGTTGAATAGTTTTCTGTGTGTTATATTTAATTATACATTTCATTTTCATTACATATATTGTGTTATTTTTAATAAACGCTTTTATCCACCACTTGGTTTTAATCCATGACACTTGCTTTAATCTCAAATATACAGTAAACTCTAGTATAATATAAACATGTTGATTTTAAATTCAGTGAAAACATATCCTCGGGGATGTATGGCCTTTACCCCTTTAAGTCAATGCTAAGGTTTTCGTTATGATAGCTAACCTAATCTTTCTTCACCTGCTGTGATCAACCTTTCAGCACATATGATTAAATGTCACGTTATATATTTCTTGTCTCTAGGTCCATCTCCAGTCAATCTGACTCCAGCGAAGAGGCCAGAGCCCACTATCTGTATCGTCATTGGGTTGGGCTCGGTTTGACGGACGTCCATCTGTCCAATCACACAGTCCTGTTAAGTTTGCCGGGTCCCGCTCCTAACACCATCACAGATCGCTCCAGTCTGCAGTGTTTCCTGCCCACAGGAGAGTCATGTGACCAGGGCGGAGCCAACAGACCGACCAATCAGCAGTTCTCCTACGCAGCCTACTCTGCTGTGGGAACGCTACAGGTACAGAGCTCAACATAACACATGCTGTATCTTCCATGAGAGTTTTTAGACCTGGATATTATGCAAATGAGTACAGCAGGATTCCAAGTATTCAGAGTCAGTAACTGAGTGCTCTGTTTGCAGTGATGACAGCAGGTTAGTGGTTCTTTGAAAATGGAAAGAGAGATGGGCGTGCTATATCTTTTTTTTTTTTTTTTAGTTTTTCAATCGTTTTAGCATTTCCTACTTAGTTTTCCCGTCTCAATGACTCACCTCAAGTGGTATTTATACTGATTTCTGCATGTTGAAATAATATAACCTCCACAAATGAGGTGAGTTTGTGTTTAGATGTGATTTTTTAGGAATTGAACCTCTTGGTGGAGGTCTACTCTGAGTGCTTTTCTGACTAACAGTTCTGTTCACAATTTTCCCATGTTTTGAAGGAGCCAAAAAAAGAATCTTGCTCATCCATCTACTACTTGAGTGGCTGCACCTGTGACCACATGCAGATTAAAGACCAAGCTTTTACTATAATCCTGCATATGGCTCACTCCCCACAGCCGTCTCCCACCAGAGGGTCCAGGGCACTCACCCATCTACACATTATTCTTTAACTCAACATTCTGGCCGCTGTCCCCCCTTGTACAAGCAACACAGAAAACACACCCATTCGTCGTCACCACCAACTCAAAGTTCCCCCAAAACCCCCACTCCCCATATTAGCATTTAAGTCCTCATTATCGATCCCTTCCGACAAACACTGGAGTGACCCAAAATAAAGTTCTCACATATTACAGCACAGCACCCCACACAATGAGCGTACTATAGTATATAAACCTTCAAATAGTATAAGCATCAATACAAGAACCCCACGTAGTGTAGAAGAAACATAAAAAAAGAGATAAATAGAAGATACCCTTCAGCTCTCCCTTTTTCCCCCAACAGAAAACCCCAAATCCCCACATAAAACCACCCCTGACCTATCCCACCAACCCCCCCACCCTTCCCATTCCCCACTTCCAAAACTATCTTTCAACCTCAAACCAAATCAAACCCCCTCCCACCAACCTAAATACCAAACCCCCAGATACCCCCAAATCACCTACAATACCCAAAACAACAACGTACCCCAACCAATCCGTAAACCTCCCCCCACAAAAAAAAAACTTTCATACCACACCCTCCAGCCCCCAACACAATCTACCCGAAGCCCCTCACCCAAAACGACCCATCACAACCCAAATACATAAATCCCACCCACACAACAAGAACCCATCCTACCCGCTTCGCTCAACCCCAGGCCCGTCTCCCCCATCCCCACCCCCTCCAATATCTATACCCCCAAAATCAATCATCCCCCGCCCCCTAAAACCCGGTGGGGGGGGTGATCACCCCCTCTCTGCAAACTTCTTCATAACCTTCCACCAGAAATCATTGTTTTACATCCAGTCTTCCCCACAACCGCCAAAGCCAAGATACCCTTCCGGACCACAACTTACCCCACTCAAACCCCGCCCTCATATTCAACCACCACCCCCACCGGCCCTCTTCCGCGCCACGCGCGCCTTGCTTTGGCCGGCCCTCTTCCCACGCCCCTACAATAAACCCCCCACCCAGAAACTCACCAAATGGGATACAATTACCCCCTAGCTACGATTTCCATCCCCCTCCTTGACCCTCTCACAAGACAACAAACACCCCGACCTCCCACAATCTCCCACCCGACCCATCAATTGGTATACCCACCACGCGCCCCCGCCCTGCCGTCATCCGCAAACCCTTGGGGGGTCACCCCCGCCCCCCCCATCTGCCGCGCCCCTCCAAACACCTCCTACCTCCCCATATTATCTCCCCTCATACCCCCCGTCTAACCCCTTTTCTCACCTCCCCCCACCCCCCCCCCCTCTAGACAATTACCAATTTCTACACTTCCCACCGTTTTATCCCCGCCCGGCGTCCCCTCCCCATATTAATACCACCCACCCTCTATAGAGAGGTACTCCCAAATAGCCCAATTCCCACTCAAACTTACAACGTCGACATGCCCAGACACTACCCAATCACCCCCCAAGATATTTCCCACAACCCGAAATATCATCCTTACCCCCAACCTCGTCATCCTACATTTCACAAAAAACCCAAAATAATAAAAGCCCCAAACCACCCCCACCGATCAACCCAACAAAAACCACGACACAACAAAAACAAACCCCCAGACGGCGAAGACCGGCACGAAACCACCCCAACCCCAAAAAAACCCCCAAAACCCAATGACAACAACACACAATACATATACCACACACGGCCATCTTGTGCCCATCCACGGAATAACCAGCCATACGGGAAAGTGGGCGTCTCCGGCTTTTAACTTGCTGTCCTGGTGGTTATTGGTGGATTAGATGTGGGCGTTTTGCTGGCTGGGTGTAATGAGTAGAGGATGAGCAGGCTTGTAGATCTGGCAGCAGCGGCCGGGTCTACCACAGTGAACTTTCGCGAAGCTTCATAACCTCATTTTTTCAGCTACGTACAAAGCCAAAAAGGTGAGAAAACTAAACTGAAACGTGTACAGTACTTCAATGTCATTTTTTGACAAATGTTTGAAGAAACTTTCAGCAAGGATGTTTGCCATCACAGTAAAGCTACAAATAAAAACACAGAGGACTTTCTGTGTCTCACCTGATATAAAGCAGTGTAATAAAGGCATGGTCATGTCTATTTTGCAATAAGCCTGTAAAAGCTGTCGGATTGTTCAAAGAGAACTGCAAAGCCTGGACATGTGCCACTCATCTGTCCTTATAATTCACTATTCCCTTTACTAGTCACTAGTCACTTTACCTGCTATTATGCTATTCTGATTACATTATTACAAATTCCATTAATCTATAATGATAATGCACCAGCCACTTTACCCGCTGCTATTGTTTATATTTTTGTTTATTTTTTATCTGGTCATATCTTCTGGTGCTAAACCTCATAAGTGCTGCTCACCACAGTGTTTACGCCACAAGTGACTTATCCTTGACCCATGTGCAATTATATCTCCAGAGTTTGTTGTCTTAACATTGTACTATCTATTATCTTGTATTATCTAATATACAGTATCATGTTACAAGTGTACATAATCTGGGTGCTGTTATGTGTGTGCCTATGACATCCAAATGTCTCCACAAAAAAATAGGTTTAACTGGAACAACAAACAACTCTTTTCTAATTACCCTTGAGAAAATGTTAATCCAATCTCTATTACACATTCCAATCACTTACATTCATGTTTTCTTGAGGTTAGCTATTTTTTTGACCGGACTTAAACATAGGTTACATCTCTGTGTTGCATGAAGCCAGGGGCGGCATCGAGATAAATGCACTGCGGAAAACAATCGAGTAAAAACAGTTTAATTGGCCGTCGGAAGTGGAGAAGAACGGCTTGCTTACTAATGCTGCCTCAACGCTTATTGCAATTCAATCAAGCTAACTTTGAGGCTAAACCACCCCACTGAGGAAAACAAGCCTTGTTACAGACGGCTGAACAGAAAAAGAGTAACGAGCCGAGAGGGAAATGCACACAATATGAGAGTAACATGAGCTGAATACTGAAGCTATAACAGAACTGGAGGTGGTCTGTAGAAGACAAAAGATAAAAAGATAAATCACTAAGTGGACGGAAATTGCATGTAAAAGTTCGGACTTTTATATTGACTTGCTAGAAACAAGGTAAATTAGGTTATTTAAACTATAATCTCATGACTCAAAAGGCTTAGCAGGATTGGCATTTATGATCACATAGCAAAAAATAGCACTGTAAATTGTCAGATTTGAATTGTCTTAAGTAAGGGGTAATGTATAGGACCCTGGTCATTATCGGAAAAAAGTACCGTCAGGGCGAACCGGACCCTGACATCCGATTCCGCCCTAAATGTACTTTTAATTATACGGCTATCTGCCAACTGAACACACAAAATAAACTTCCGTCCACTTTTATGAATGCTGAAAGGTTTATTTAATGACAGCAAATTAAATAGCTCCCACACATCTAGGCGAGTAACAGCTAGGCTACTTATTAAACTGGATGTTTCCGTTGAAGGAACTCTCTCAAACTACATGAAAACTGAACCAAGAATTCTGAACATCAGCGATGACTGACCCATATATACTCAACCTAAATCAAAAACCAGATCCTCAGTCTTAATTTTTTTGTCGCATTAAAAAAGTATTTTTGTCACGAAAACGTAAGCTGATCATTCTACTGTAAAAACCTCTGCATGTGGATAAAGACTGTATATGTATAATGTATTGTCTGATTAACATTTAAATGTGTTGATTGATGGATCACCATGGATCTATGTGCGGCTAGGCGAGTAACAGCTAGGCTAGCTACGTATTTATATTTAGCTGCACGTTCCTGTTGAAGGTGCTGTTGGAGATGAGGAGGTGGTGTATGATGGTGATGTATCTCTGGGAAAGTTGAAAGTCGGACTCCCATTAACCTCAGGAGCAATTCCCCCAGCTTCTCTTGCAGTGACGGAAGCTAGTTGACAAAGTGGCCGAAGTACTTGCGGAGTGATCTGACACACGTAAATTACAAGCACAGATTGCGTTGCCATTGGCAGCAGTCATTATTGGTTTGAGAGGTCTGTTATCGAAAAATAATCACCGTTAGAACGTTTTGAAATTACATTCAAATCAATGGAGTGTTCTACTGCTGCTGTGAGGAGCCATATGATGAAGAACAAATAATCAATACATGTCAATTGTGTCTATTCATGTATTAAAATAAGACCTGTTATTACTTTAGTATTACCCACGCCATTCTGATTCTAGTTAGTCAAATATTTTCAATTCTGCTATAATGTATCTTACTTTTCAAAAACTACTTGGTAAAAAGTAAATGATAGGCTTTTCACATTTTCTAATGGCACTTCTCTGCTTTTGCAAAATAACAGTTATTTTTCATCAATTGAAGGGGGTTACCAAACACTATCACTTTCTACAAGGATAATTGGCATCTCAGTAAAGATAAGAAAAAAAAACACTTAATATAA